GGGACATCGGCCTGTTAAGGCCCGACACATCGAGAACGAGAGGTCGGTTTGGGCGTGATGTCCGTCTCTGCGTTTTTTTATTTTGCAGCAGAGAAGAAATCCCAGCAGATGAGCATGTAACGCAGGAATTGGAGGTACGTTGGGACGGAACGGGTTACTAGCACGTCCGAGATTTAAAATCTGTCGCCAGGATGTCCCTTGCCTTTTCTTTTCTTTTCTTCAGGATGCCGTTCGCGTGGTCCTGGCCAATCTGGACTCCCTGCAGCCCTTCGCCACAGAACACTTCAATATTTTTCCTTGTATCCATTTGAAAAAAAGATACTGCAGCTCATCTGTGAAGGAAAGAGTCTGAAATTCTCCATTCAGCGAATAGGAAATGCCCTGCAGCGTCGGGTTTCACAGTTTCTCCCTGGGGGGGGGGGCGTATTTGTTTTTGACTGTTACTCGGGCGGGCTAACGAGTGGCTCGGATAGTTAAGGCACTTGCTCAAAGCCTGTGGGCCTAATGTTACTTGTTTGAGTCTCAGTCAGCCTCAACTGACACATTAGCCAGGTTGGCTGTTGCCTTCGATGGATCAGAGGCGCATGCACCAACAGATGTGCCCTCTGATGAGGGCAGTGACAGCTGACTGCACTCCGGTGAAAAGGCCTGGTTTGCAGCTGCTTTGTCGCCCTGGGGAAATCACAGGGACGTATCCCATGCAGGGAAATCCCCACAACAGGCAGGCAGGCTGGGGCACTCCTATGGAACTTGCAATTGTGTAATATTCCGAGAGGCAGTGATTCAAAACTGCCTAGCAGCCTTGCCGAAGGCCTGTAGCAGACTTCCTTCTTAAACATGCGTGTGCGGGGGGTCCGTGGAGCACGCCCGGGATGAGCATTCCCAGTACTTGCGTAGGCTCAGGTCGGAAGTCAGGCCAGACGCTTCCTTCACGGGGGTGCCGCGAGACAAGAGCCAGTGGGAGAGGGTGTCCAAGCTGACGTTCCTGCAGGGCAGCTCGGCGCTCCACGCCTACCCCTTCGTGTGCACTCTCTACGTGGAGC